TCTCACTAGTTACTCACTAGTTGAGAGAAGAGGCCAACCCACAGCACACTACAACCTCCCTTCAGGTAGGTAGGCCCTCTGCAGGGCCTTGCTACCCCCAGGCAGATTGACACCTCCAGCCAACTTGGTGTCATCCACAAACTCACTGAGGGAGCACTCAGTGCCCTCATCCAGGTCATCAATAAAGATACTGGCCCCAGCACCAACCCCTGGGGAACACCACTCATGACTGGCCGCCAGCTGGATTTAGCTTCATTCACTACCACTCTCTTGGCCTGGTCTTCCAGCCAGTTCCTTATCCATCTGAGAGTGTACCTGTCCAAGCCACAGACAGCCAACTTCTGCAGGAGAATTCTGTGAGAGACAGTGTCAAAGGCCTTGCTGAAGTCTAGGTAGACTACATTAACAGCCTTTCCCTCGTTTACCAGCCAGGTCACTAGACGGAAATCAGGTTGGTCAATCAAGACCTGCCTTTTGTGAACGTGTGCTGGCTGGCCTGATCCCACACATGCCATGTGATCTCCCTCAAGACAGTCTGCTCAATAACCTTCTCTGGCACTGAGGTCAGGCTAACAGGCCTGTAGTTCCCTGGATCCTCCTTAACCCTTCTTGTAGATGGGAGTCACACTGGCAAGTCTCCAGTTTTCTGGGACCTCACCAGTCAACAAGATGCACTGATAGATGATGGAAAGCAGCTTCACTATCCCCTCCACCAGCTCCCTCAGCACTCTTGGATGGATCTCAACTGGCCCCATGGACTTGTGGCTGCCCATTTGGAGTAGTAGGTCTCTGTTTCCTCCTGAATCATGGGGTTTTAGTCTGCTCCCCAGCTGAGACTACCGGGTCAAAGAGTGGAGTACTGTAAGGATAACGGACTTTTAAAGACAGACCTAAAGAAGGCATTGAGAACCTCAGCCTTTTCCTTATCCTCAGTGGTCACACTCCCAGCTTCATCCAGTAAACAACGGAGGTTCTCCTTGGTCCTCCTCTTACTGCTGATATATTTGTAAAAGAGCTTCTTGTTCATTTTTACCCCAGTGGCCAGGTTGAATTCAAGCTGGGCTTTTGCCTTTCTGATTTTCTGTCTGCACATTTTAACAAATTCTTTGTATTTTTTTCTGAGTTGTCTGTCCTTTCTTCCACAGGAGGTAGATTCTCTTTTTCTCCCAGAGCCTCAAAAATAGCTCCCTATTCATCCACTCTGGTTTTCTTCCCCACCAGCTCATTTTGCATCTCAGGGGGATAGCCTGCTCCTGCACCTTTAAGAATCCCTTCTTGAAGAGTGACCAGCCATCTCGGGCCCTTTTACTCTCTAAGACTGAAACACAGGGGATTCCCCTGCTAGTCTTTTGAACAAGTCAAAGTCTGCCCTCTGGAAGTCCAAGGTAGCAGTTTTGTTGTTTCCCCTCCTGGCTCCACCAAGAACCAAGAACTCCATCATTTAATGGTCACTCTGTTCAAGATAGCTGCTGACCTTCACATCTCCCACCAGACCTTCTCTGTTTGTGAACAGCAGGTCTAGCAGGGCAGCTTCTCTCATAGGCTCTCTCACCAGCTCCATCAGGAACTTATCTCCTTGTACTTCAAAAACCTCCCAGACTGCTTCTTCTGTACTACACTGTACTCCCAGCATGTGTCCAAGAAGTTGAAGTCTCCTGTGAGGACAAGGGCTGGCAATCATACAGATTCTGGCAGATGCTTGTAAAACATCTCATCTGTCTCTTCATCCTGGTTCAGCAGTTTATAACAGATGCCCACTAAGATGTCTGCCTTGTCAGCCCTTCCCCTGACCTTTACCAATAGGGATTCAACCTTATCATCCCCAGCCACAAGCTCAGTAACATCAAAGCACTCACAGGGGTTGCCTGCGTCACTGAGCTGAGACCTGCTGCCATTCCACTTCTCTCAAAAGTTGTCTCTCTCTGCTTGACTATGGCAAGGGAGAGAGTCCACTATGGTTTGGGGGTTGCAATCTCTGTGTCTTTTTCACAGAGAGTCACTCCACCAGTCGATCTCCCACTCATATTCTCTGATGGTTCTCAATCTCTCCACCTCCTCCCTAAGCTCCATCACTGGGCTGAGCAGCTCATCCACATGCTTGCACCTCACGCAGGTGGTATCCTCCCCATCCTCCCATGGCAGCAGCAGGCTCAGGCACTCCCTGCAGCCAGAGTCCTGAACTGCAGTTTCTGGGCAGTTGCCATAGTCTTCTTGGGGCAAGCCTGCTGTCTGGTAGAAACCATGTTTGAACCTGGGGTCTTTGGGTCTGTCAGTTGGAGAGCTAGTCTCCTGAGCAAAAAAGACAAAAGTGCTCACATATCCTGCCACAAGACCCTTCTCCCACACCTGCTGCTGCAGTATTGTAGCGTGGGCTGTGCTCACACTGACTTCCCTCCCTGTTACCAATGGACAGTAATACCCTTTTCTCACTCAGCGCTTTGTGTGGGCAGAAGCTAGCTTCTGGAGGGCTGCTTTTAGCTTCACAGCAAAGGTTCAAAGTCAAGTTCAAGAGATTAAGAGTGGGCAGTGCCAGCTCCACTCTTTCTGGCTCAGCAGCCTGCCCACAAGCTGCCAGCCCCCCAGCACTGGCACAGTGCTTTTGCTGGCTTTAAAAAAAGCCCTAAAAAGCTTTTTGGTCAGCCTTTTTGCCTTAGATCTCCTACCCAGTGCAGTCTTAACTGCCCTGAAGCCAGTCCTGGAGCAATCACATCACCTAGAGGCTTATGGCTGTTAGAAAAACAAAGAAACAGAAGCACCAATAGCAAAAAGTGAAAAGCCATAAAAATTCTGTTTATTAAGTCTCTGAATACCTGTGATATGATGATTTTTTTTCAGGGGATCAGAAGGTCTGCTGAATACAACAATCTGACTGAGGCCTTAAGATTACATCAGAAAATCTCTGCTGAAAGAAAACATTTATAGTAATATCTTTTCATATTATTATTTATTCAGAAGAGAAAAGCATAATTCCTAAACAAAACAAAAATAAAAACAAAACAACAAAAACAACAAAACCCAAAATACTTGTTGATCCTATTCTTAAATCTTGTTTTGCTTTTAGTATTTCTTCCTTTGCTATTGCTTTTCTCTCACACTAACATCTCTAAACAACTGCAGTTTTTTATATCTAGTTTTGACTAAGGGTTATGCTTGTCACCTGGAATCCTAATAATAGAGAACGGTTCTAGGACGATACACTGCCTGAGAACAGGAGCAACACACTCTTTCCTGTGGACCTGTAACAGATCACTGAAGCACACAGGGTAAAACAATATAAACAGTTTGTGTATTCCTCTTTCCCTGCTCTAAGTATAAATAGTGCACCAAGGACCAAAGGGGATCTTTCATCTTTGACAGTAAATATTTATTTTTCAACACAACATCCTCTCATTGGTATAAAATAGAAAAGAAACGTGGATGGAAAAGCAATTTATAGTGTTGTTATTTTAATACTTCAGCTGGTGTGTGATTTTTAAGCGACTACATCCAGTGTATTTGATACTACCAAAGTGACCCAGTTTTAGTTGAGAGGACCTGAGGAAGAATGATAGCCTAATTATTTATCACCAATCATCACTCTGTCACCATCAAATTTGGTCAGATCTCCATAGATAATTGATGTTTCTGCTCCAGTGTCCACTAATGCCAAAACTCTGAATATTTTTTCCAGACCAATAAATCGTTAATTCTACGTAGGGCCACTGGTCTCATCTGGAGGCCCTACGGGGACTAACATCCCTTGTCACACCATGAATCCTTTTGCTTCCGGTGGCTCAGGCATTGTGGCCCAAGACACCTGAGGCAGCTTTTTTTTTTTTTCCTATTATGAACAATGAAATCCTCCAGGTTCCATGTTGTCATTTATATTCTTTCTATAACCCTTACCCTTGATTTCTTAGGGTAGTTCTGAAATTTTTGATTGCCCTTTAGTTGTCTCCAAAGCTGGAGAAGGACATGGTTGGGCTGGCAGTCAATCTTAGCAAATTGGACCCCAGCCCAAATTAAATCATTAAACGTTTGTTTTCAGGAGACCCTTATGGGTCCTGATTGAGGAGCTCAAGTAGCTGGCATTTTGGTTTCAGTTATCGGCAGGACCTCAGCTTCTTCCAACACCCGAATATCGCACCTAGTCCACAGGCGTTCTGTTCCTCCTAGGTCGGCCACTAACTGGGCAGCCTGCTGGACTACAGCTTCTGGGGCCACCAGGAGATTTAATATAGAGACTAAAATACCATACACATGAGAGGGAGCTTGTTGTAGAATTAAGTCTCTCACCCCTGCTGAAAATTTGACCATATCAGGGCCATCAAGTGTGTCTTCACAGATAGCTTCCCTTACACCCAGTTCATGGATATAATTCTGAAGGTCCTCCATGGAGGACCACATCCCTGTATGTAGAGGTATACCAGATTTATTCAGCCATACCATACGGCAGGCCACCATTAACGATTCTATTATAGAATGATTTTCATCAACATATTGATTACCTGCATATAACCTCTGCCTGGGAGCAGGATGGACAGTCATGGTGGCCAACTTGGCTATTTCCAGGCCATTCACCAAAACACTTTCTGCCACAGAATCCCACAGTCTTAATAACCAAGTTGGCACACTTTCTCTAGGCTTCTGCCAAAATTGCTGTACTATCTGTACACTGATGCTGTACATCAATTCTGTTGCTGTGTATGACTGGGCTGTTATGTGCAAATGAGCCTGGGCAGGGGGCCACTGATCAGGCTGATCCCTACTGTTCTGTCCTGCACTTTTTTTTGTTTTCTGAGTAATGACAGGATGGACTTCTTGTGGATCTGTCAAAATCAGATATTCAAAATCTAATTTGGATTTTTTATTTTCCTGATCAACGAAGTCTGTTGATTTAGGAATCTGGTCATTGTTTATTAAATGTAACAAACTTGACCTATTGGAAGATTCAGAATTGGTTTCTTCCCTATTCATACGCTAAATTTTTGCTCTAGTTTCTCAATATGGTTTTTCAAAAGTTAATATTCATTCTCTAAAGTATTATTTCTTACTTCAGCATGATTTAAGGCATTTAATAGTGGCCATGCCACTGTGGAGGCAGCCAATTGTCTTTCTTTATTAATCAGTACATCCTTGCTAAGTCCCTGAAAGTAATCTGCCATGTGATATGGGGAGATACTTCCCAAAACATGTAAGGGATCCCTTTTTTCAATGATAACTGCATAACAGGGAGATCCCACAAATCCTGGGATCTGCCTTGGAGTCATTTTCTCTAGAGGAGTATTTTTCTCCACCTTGACCTGTTAATAGAAATTCCGAAAAAAAATACATGATGTAAATTTTAGTATATTTGGCCTGCCTGGCTCACCAACTGTATAATCAATGAATATTAAAATGCTATAATTACAAAATAAACAAGAGAGTTTGGCAAAGCAGGTTATGACAACAAAAACAGAATAGATAGAAAGCTTACCTGTATTCTGGGCTCACTTACAAAACTGCAAGAGAGCAGATCGCCAGAAGAGATCCTTCCCTCCTGGTAGCCAGCTCTTAAATAGGTCTAGGAGGGGAGGAGCCTGGCTCCACCCCTTCTAGCAGCACAGGAGAATTGCCTTCACCTGTGCTCTGTGGCTGACTCATTGCTCACCTCAGGTGATCAATCAGAGGTTCAGGCTGTGACTCAGCAGTTCCCATATAAACCATCTACCAGAATGTCAAGTAGATTTGCTGTGATGATTGGTTTCACAGTGAAGAAACCATGAATTCAGCTGTCTGCTGTGCTATGGAGGACGGCAGTGCAATACTGAGGGCGGAATACTCTGTTTCCAACATGATCTTTGAGTTCTGGATAGAATTTTATTAACTATGTACATGTTGCAATTTCTCAGAAAGCTCCTTTGTAGTCAGTAACAAAATGTAATCAGATTCTAATCAAATTAATTATTTAATCAAATTAAATAATGATTATGAATTATTTAAACTGGGAGGAAATGAAATAATTTAAAATGCCTTTGCAGTGAAAAATACTTTCAGTAGATATGATTCTGCAGCAGAGTTTGTTATGTAAAAACAACCCAAAAAACAACATAATAAAGGTAAAAGTGTATCTGTAACAAATCTGTAACACTTCTGCATGCAAAATATCAGATTAGTATGGATGTTTTCAAAGCTAATTAAACTGAAGTACATAATTTCTCAAGATGAGTGGCTAACTACAGAAGAGTGGAGTTGGATAAATAAGCACTCAGTGCTTTAAAAACAATCAATACAACTGAAACTGTTTCAGCAGTAGCTGCGAATCCTAAATGTACTTAAACAAATAATAAGATTCTGGATAGGAAAACATAAGACACTGCCTATAGATTCAAATTTGTATTGAGTTATACCCATATAATCACCAGAGAGCTGATGTTGATTCAGTGTAAGGATTTCGGTGCGGAGGTGGAGCTTTTGACTTCTACTATTTTTGATATCTGATAACTATTTCAGCAATGGTAGTTTTCATACTTTGTATGTCCATATTATTACTACATTTTTAATAAAATAATGTTAATCTTTGTGTAAAGAGACAGCTTTGTAATATAAAACTGTTTCTGAACTGAGATATAAAATATCTCGGACTCATGGATGTTTTAGAAGTATAACCCTATATAGATTTTCAAACCTAATCAAGAATGCTAAAAAATTCATGACTAACTCTAAAATCCTGTTGGAGTTTAAATATTAGAGAGTTGTCAGTATTTCCAGTATGCAATTGTTATTATTTTTTAAAAATATTAGTCAGTAGTTCATGTATCTGTCACATCAATACAGCTGAATTCAGTCTGTGTGGGAGGATATGTAGCTGTCCAAGTAGAAGAGCTTGCCCAAATGGGCAATACTCCATTCAATGAACAACAAAAATGTTCTCTCACTCTGATAATTTACACCCTTTCTGCAGGAAAAAGTGCCTGTGATCAAGTGCACGTAACATTGAGAGATATGACTGTAGAAATTTTAGTTACAGATCATCAGCAGAAAAATTGATACGGAAATAACATAGCCTGTGACACAAACATTGGTAAATATTGCACCAGTGTTAAGAAAAAAATAGTGTCAAAAAGGGATGGTACAGAAATGGGATTTCCAAAAATACTGAGTACTGTACATTTTCATAAGTTTGTGGTAGTTTAATATCATACATCTTTTTTCAAATGGTGATCTCAAATGGAATTTTTAGTAGCCCTATAGGGTCATATTCTCTTGCTTATCTTCATCTTATAGAGGAACACTCTGCTGTGATAATGGGCTCCATTTGTTCCTTGGAATCATGCTATGTTTAGCACACTAGGCAATACCTTCAAGTACAGCCTACAAGAACAACTGGAAATGTATTTTTCTTAATTGGTGACCCTTCTTAATTGTTGCACGGGAAGACATGCTAACAGCTCAAGATGACTACCGAGTCTTCCTAAACATACACAATATTTTACTCTTAATGATCCAAGAGATGGAACACCTCTCCTATGAGGACAGGCTGAGTGAGCTGGGGCTGTTCAATCTGTAAAAGAGAAAACTATGAGATGACATGATAATGACCTTTCACTATCTAAAGGGGAGCTACAGAAAAGAAAGGAATAGACTCTTCAGCAGGATCTGTGGTGTTAGGACAAAGCGAAATGGTTTTAAGCTCAAAGAGGGTAGATTTAGTTCATTTAACTCCCCCATGTGGCTAGTCAGGAATTTAGACAGTATGTGGCAAAGGATGGTGGACTACAGAGAACTAAAGGAAGTCATCCTTCCAGTCCATGCAGCCATATCCAGTATTGCTTCTCTCATGGATACAAGAGAAACAGAAACATGTCACTGTGCTCTGGATATAGCAAAGGCATTTTTCATGATTTCAATTGCTAAGGAATCCCAAGAGCATTTCACATTCATATGGGAGGATAGGCAGTAGATTTATCAAGTCCTCCCTCAAGGGGTATGTGCACTTGCCTATCTTTGATCATAATTTTGTGGCGTGTAACTTGGCAAACTGAAACGAACTATCATCAAAATGTACAACTAAATCGATGATCTAACGTTAACATCTGACTCAGTGGAGGCATTAGCATAGGCAGTAACTTCACTAACTGCCTATTTACAGGAAAAAGGCTCGGCTATAAACCCATGGCAAATACAAGGACCAGAGCCATCAGTTAAATTCCTAGGTCTTGTCTGGACAGGTAAGACCAAGGTCTAACCCAGTGCAATCATAGATAAGGTCCAAGCAATCCAAATTCCCATGGCTTTGAAGAAGTAGCAGGAGGCTTTGTGTATGTTAGGATACTGGTGATCCTTTATACCCTACCTAGCACAACTGCCTCTACACAAACCTCTATATTGACTAACCAAAAAAAGGCCAAGTATGGGATTGGGGTAGAATGGAACAGAAAGACTTTCAACAGGCAAAAATAGCCGTTAAACAGGCTCAGGTGCTGGGTATACTTAATCCAACCCTTCTAGCTGAACTAAATTTGCATGTAAGAAAATATCAGCTGGGGGTTGTTGCAGTGCCAGAGTTCTGTTTGAACACCAATAGGATTCTGGTCACAGGTTTGGCATGGAGCAGAAGAAATGTACAGTATGACTGAGAAGCAGTTATTGGCTACCTATTCTGCACTGCAAGTGATAGAACCAATAACTCAGACTGCAGACGATGTTGTTAAAACAACTTTGCTGATCCAGGGGTAGGTAAAAGATCTAACCCACATTCCTAAGATGGGGTGGCTCATTCTCAAAGAGTGGCATGCTGGGTTGCTTACTTTAGTAAGAGTAGCTGTCTGTCGTCGTCTCCATTAAATGAAGATCTGTAGAAGATATTTGGCCCTTAACATATTAGAATGAGACATTTGAGGAAATGACAATCACTCATCTGGAATAGAATCCTGTACAGGAGGGGAAATATCCTACTATAAATGATGTCTAATACATGGATGGATCCAGCAGAGAAAACTCAGGTAAGTGGCAAACTGTCGAATAACATCCCTAAACAAAAATGATATTGTTTGAAGATGGGGACAGACAAAGTACCCAATGTGTTGAGCTATGAATCATGTGAATGGTTCTAATTCAAGAGCCTAGCGACAGTGCACTGAAGATCTTCACAGACAGTTGAGCGGTCTACTGAGGGCTCATGCTCTGGAAAGCACACTCAGGGTAGGACAATCTACACCTGACCTATCTGGGAAAAATATATGTAGGTTGATACATGGAATGTGGTTAGGCACAGGACTGTTTGAGCATACAGTGTCTGTGAACACCAACCCTTGCAGTCACTAGGCAGTGATAAAGCTGACACATTAGCTTGAATTAGATGTCTGGAAAATACATCAGCACAAGTCATCATCCACTGGTTACATCAGAAACAACAACATGCAGGACAGAAGACCACGTGGGCAATGGCCAAACACGGGAGCAGCCCATACACTTACCAGATTTTGTCCAAGCATGTCAGGAATGTGATGCTTACTTGTGAATGAGACCATGACCTCTGCCAGAAACTACAGCCCATCTAGAAAATATAGTCCATGTAAAGAGTATAACTCATTAGAGCGATGACATATTGATTATATGGTTTCTCTTCCTTGATATGAGGGGGTCAGATATGCTCTAACTAGTTGAAACTGTGAGTGGACTGACACAAGCATGTATCCTGTACGGAAGACAAATCAAGACTATACCATTAAAACACTAACTAGGCTGATGGCATCATATGGAACTGTTCAGGTCATCAAGAATTACCTTGGTCATTCTTGCACATTTCACAGGTGCAATTGTGCAAAAGTAGGCTGAAGACAGCAACACTGAACAGTGGTTTCACCTGCTGTATAATCCAATAGGAGCAGGCCTAATAGAAACATACAACAGGATCCTGAAGGTCACTTCGAAGGTAGATTCACAGTCCTTGCAGGTGTGGACAAAGATACTCTCTGAAACTCTGTGGGATTTGAATGAGAGACAAAAGCATGTCAGATCCAGTGCTTTTAGAATGTTGCAAATAACTTGGGCCTCCCTGCTTAGGATACCAATTACAGGCAAGTACACCTCAATCAAGCTGCAAAAAGACACCAGTAATAATCTTCTGTTCCCTGCATCTAAGGATCTAGAGCACCTTGGAAGAGATTTTTACAGGTCGGGAGATCAGTAAACCCTCAGGCAGCCAGTTTATGGCCAGTAGAGAATCACAGAATCATAGCATTACTCAGGTTGGAAGGGACCTCAAGGATCATCAAGTCCAACTGCAGCCTAACCATAGTACTCTAACTCTAGCAACCCT